GAATAATAATGTTAATTTATATGTCTGTTGGACCCTACAGGTACATTTAAATCTTTAAATCTTTATGACTTCAAAATATACAGTATATTTTAAACTGCACTAAAACTGTAGTAAGTAAGGACGATAGCAAGTCACTCTTTATTTTAAATCAGTAAATAACACACAGCAACTTATTTGTTCCAACATTTTTACCCGAATACGCGAATGATCTCTCCAGCACGTCATATTTCAAAGGTTTTAGAGCACTGCTTCAAGTTTAAACATATCACAGAATGTACAGTTTTCACTTGAACGTGTGGTTTGCATGCCCTGTGGCAAATTCTGTTTCTTTCTGTTCTTTCTTATTGTATTAATTTTGCTTGTAGGCAGCTGAACAGGCTCCAGACAAAATGGAATTCCAGTCGTGGGCTGATAAAAGTTAGTGTGTCTAAAATCTAGTTTCTGTTAACTGTCACATGTACACAGAATTAGATTGTTAGGTCCACAAAAGTGGAAAAACAAGAGGCAAAGTTGAATCTGAGGACAGCGAAGCTACAGCACAGACTGAGTTTTCTATGTATTAAATCTGAGTATTTCTATGGAGGCAAATGGTGGTGTTTATATTGTCCAATTATGAAATATTGATGTAAGATTATCCTTAAATTTGCAATTGATTCTGGAGTTTAACTTCAGTAAGTATTTCCTATCAGACTGATGTCAGACAGCTAGCTGCCCAGCAACTACAGACAGGGTTAGGGTTAAGTAAAATCTGCATTCAATTAAGATCCACGGCTTCCCTTCCAGTAAATATATACCACTTTATTAGGTACATGTTTTTAGTACCAGGTTGGACCTAGTTTTGCCTTAAGAACTGCCTTAATTCTTCACTCCACTGATTCAACGAGTTGCTGGAAATATTCCTAATTCCTAACAATTAGGTAGTAAATAAACAACACTATAACAGATGTTTTTAGCTGATTAGAAGATCCTTTTGAGATCACATAACTACTTTTATTGTTTGCATGGGTGATGCCCGGAAACTTTCGTTATATTCTCAAACAGGCCTTTGGTTCGTTGTTAAGTTTCCCTGTTCCATGTACTCGTGGTGATTCCAGGTAGGATTTATGTAAACAAAGAGGTAACTATGTGCCATGAGCTACGTAAATGTGGATTGTGTAATTATGGACAGACACTACCTGACTAAACTAATAACCCACAGCTACAGGGAGTCCAGAATTATTAGGCAAATGAGTATTTTGTCCTCTTCATGCATGTTGTCTTACTCCAAGCTGTATAGGCTCGAAAGCCTACTACCAATTAAGCATATTAGGTGATGTGCATCTCTGCCAAGATGCCACTTGCCACCAGTTTGGCCATATTTCAGAGCTGCAACATCACTGGAGTGCCCAAAAGCACAAGGTGTGCAATACTCAGAGACATGGCGAAGGTAAGAAAGGCTGAAAGACGACCACCACTGAACAAGAAACACAAGCTGAAACGTCAAGACTGGGCCAAGAAATATCTCAAGACTGGTTTTTCTAAGGTTTTATGGACTGATGAAATGAGAGTGAGTCTTGATGGGCCAGATGGATGGGCCCGTGGCTGGATTGGTAAAGGGCAGAGAGCTCCAGTCCGACTCAGATGCCAGCAAGGTGGAGGTGGAGTACTGGTTTGGGCTGGTATCATCAAAGATGAGCTTGTGGGGCCTTTTCGGGTTGAGGATGGAGTCAAGCTCAACTCCCGGTCCTACTGCCAGTTTCTGGAAGACACCTTCTTCAAGCAGTGGTACAGGAAGAAGTCTGCATCTTTCAAGAAAAACATGATTTCCATGCAGGACAATGCTCCATCACACGCGTCCAAGTACTCCACAGCGTGGCTGGCAAGAAAGGGTATAAAAGAAGAAAAAATAATGACATGGCCTCCTTGTTCACCTGATCTGAACCCCATTGAGAACCTGTGGTCCATCATCAAATGTGAGATTTACAAGGAGGGGAAACAGTACACCTCTCTGAACAGTGTCTGGGAGGCTGTGGTTGCTGCTGCACGCAATGTTGATGGTGAACAGATCAAAACACTGACAGAATCCATGGATGGCAGGCTTTTGAGTGTCCTTGCAAAGAAAGGTGGCTATATTGGTCGCTGATTTGTTTTTGTTTTGTTTTTGAATGTCAGAAATGTATATTTGTGAATGTGGAGATGTTATATTGGTTTCACTGGTAAAACAAAAATAATTGAAATGGGTATATATTTGTTTTTTGTTAAGTTGCCTAATAATTATGCACAGTAATAGTCACCTGCACACACAGATATCCCCCTAAAATAGCTAAACTAAAAACTACTTCCAAAAACATTCAGCTTTGATATTAATGAGTTTTTTGGGTTCATTGAGAACATGGTTGTGGTTCAATAATAAAATTATTCCTCAGAAATACAACTTGCCTAATAATTCTGCACTCCCTGTAGTTATCATGTCTTTACTGACTGTACCAAGTAATAAGTATGAAAAACAGCCCACTTCCTGTAACTGTAGAGACACTGAAGAAGAATTTTGGATCAAAGAAAAAAAAAAACTGTGCCAAAGCATTCTTTTGTCAGTTTATATGTTTTGATGACTCATTGTCCTGGTGCATCAACCAACATCTCCTGAGATCATGCACCGCCCTATCCTGACAGTCTCCTGTAAAAGGTATTGATCTACCATCGTTTCCTCAACTTACTGCAAGGCATCCAGGCCTTGAAGTAGCACAGCAGCCCCAAACAATGAGTCCCAGAAATGTGTTGGAAAAACACGTCTTGCCTCGACTGTGAGGAATCATTCAGTGTGTTCAATAGAGACGTGAAAAGTACAAGCTTTGGTCTGTTATAGGTTTACTCTCTTACAACTGTGGTTGCCTGTTCTCTAGTAATTGACATTACTGGTGGGTAAATCCATCACTTAGACATGTAAATCAAGCCTCGCTTTCTCCTCCTCCATGAAGCAAATAAAGTGCACATACCTCACTGCTGTTCCAGCCAAAGCTGTCAGTAAGGCCAGCAGTGGAAGCACTCTGCTGGTCCACTAGCAACAGATGGGCAAAGAGCCTCTGAAGCTCCAATGGGATCACTCTGACCTGAGGAGAAGGAGAGCAAACCTCATTAACTTTAAAAAAAAAAAAAAAAAAGACCCATGGAGACTGCACCTACATTAACCATGCATACACATACTTTAGCCTCTGGTTTGTCTTTGTCTTCCAGGGATCCTAATTCGTCTGGCACCAAACTGAACAGCTCCTCTGCAAACACACACCACAAAACAAATATGTTAAACAAACTATGTTAAATTGTCCCCTTATTATTATGAGCTGTACTGGAGGGAGGATCACTTGTCCTCACCTCTGAACTCGGGGGTGAAGAGCAGGGTCTGGAGCAGAGAGTTCAGATAGCAGGTCCCTCCCTGGTTTTTGATGCCGCACAGATTGCTTCTTCCTCGACGTGGAGGTGGCTCATCTCCCATCTTTGAAACTCTTCCCTTGGAGGAAGTCGAAGAGAAGCCTTCCTCTTCCTCCTCCTCAAATAGATTCCCAAACATGCTGCGTTAGGGGGTTTGTGTGGTTATTATTCCGTTGTGTCTCGCTTATGCTGGGGTTCAGCCTTGCAGTAAATTGTGTGTTAGCACTCCGACGTGCCCTCTTGCTATCTCATCTTGGTTTTGCCGAGTTCTCTGTTGACAATGGCCGGACTGACTCTGAAGTAAGAAGACTTTACGGGACTAAACATTGCGACTAGTACCGGATGAAATTTGCAGTCGTTTGGGTAGCTCAGCACGCTAGCAAAGCACCGACACCAACGAGCAGCTGACAGCTCAGCGAAAATTGAAAAGAAAAAAAAAATCACACTGTCGGGAACTGTGTCACAACGACTGGGAAAACAACGTCGCCTTAATGAAACTCTAACAGTTTTTATTATTGAACTTTTACACAGCATCCCTACCAAAATAAGCCATTTCTTCTTCTGTTTGTCGTAAAGCAGAAAACAAACGAAACGTAAATAAAAATACCGTCGTTGAACAGTGAGCAGCCATGTTTTTTCCTGACCGAGAATGAAATGATGCATTATGGTTCTTGTAGTACCAAGCTTGGTTAATGCGCACACAACAGTGAAAGTAACTGAAGCTCTTTTCCATAATTAACCAGTTAAATTTCTGCGATTTTATGATACAGGTATGGATAAATCCAACGTTTCATATCTACGTTTTGATTACAGCAAAATAATTTTGTGTAAAAACTACAATTCCGGCAAGTCTATGCTTTGAGGTTAAGAATGTATTATGTGATTTGTAGTCTTTTATAGACCAACATCTTGTGAGTGTCAGAGCTCAATGGGTAATTATTTGTCTAAGGAAAACTGTACCAAATAAATGATTAACTACAAAAAAAACTTCAATAAATCATCATTCAAATATTAAACAACATTATCTGTTGGTATAAACAACTCTTATTCCATACATATACACAATAATTATAGTTTATTTAAATTTCAATAATTTACTATCACTTTTCATATACAATTCATGCAGCCAGAGGCAAAATATAACAACAAACAATACACTTTTCTATTTAAGAAAACATATTACAGTTAGTAAACAAAATAATATTAAATCACAATGCTCTTACAGAGAGAGAGAGTATATAGAAATTTGTATTAAGTTTTGTCACACGATACACACAAATATATATTAAAAACAGACTTTCTTTGGTCCATGTGATTTTTTTTGTCTTAAAATGAGGTACATCAGTGGTTAACATATCACTGTGTGGAGGGTGACTGTATGCAGGGCTGATCACTGCAAAGGTACCCCAGCCAACACCCTGAGGGAATTTCTGAGCAGACAATAATTTAAAAAGTCAATAAAATTTCAATAATTAATGTAACCATTAAATGACCTTTTTAAATGACCTTTTGCAAATTATTTTCATACATGATAGATTGTGTACAATTACACAGATGCAGGACACAAAGCCACACTTTTTTTGTTTGTTTGTCTAGTAGGTTTTCAGCATGAACACTTTGGAGAGCGGTGCCTTGGCACTGGAGTAGATTAAATATGATTCTCCTTTAGCGCTGAAAAATTCCCAGTCACTGCACCCGATCGTTGGCAGCCAATGAACAGGAACGAATCCTTCATATCCCTGCCACCTAAAAGCAAAACAGAAAAGATGAATCCCATTAGTGCAGTATTTCCATCTGCTCTCACGGTAAGATAATAAATCAATATTAGAATTGTGTGTGTGTGTGATGTTTGAGATGGTTTCAAGGCGGATACCAAAAGGCAATAAGGTGGACTTATTTCACATTGGGAGGGGTGCTGTTGACAAGTGTAATACCTGTAGAGAATGCTGTTGAGAGAGTAGGATTCTCCATTGAAGGAGTTAGCAACAACCAGAAAATATTCCTGCCCAAGGCTGAAGAACTCCCAATCCACTGCACTGGAAAGAAAGAGGAAGGTATGTGGAGATAATGAACAGATAAAATGACAGCAGACGCATCAAGAAAATGTTTCTGAGCGTGTGTACACCTGGTAAGTATTATCTGGTGATTGAACATCTATACCTGTAGGTGACAATGTCCTGGAAGCGGACAAACAGCTGTGCACTCATGTCCAGTTCATAGATAGTGGAGTTAATGGTGTACTGACTCGGTCCATTACCATGGAGTCTGTGTCCATTGGCAACAACCAAAAAAACTCTGCTGTCAATCTGGAACATTTCCCAGTCTGTGGCACAGAACGTCTAAAAGAAACAATCAATAAATCAAATACTTTAGCCTTCAAATGGGAAACTCGTGGCACACAGAAGTTAAGTAAGTTGCATATTGCTGCTGATGAGAAGAGTTCTGTTGCTATTATATTTTACAGTGCTAGATGAAACTGCTGATACATGCAGGATCCAGTTTCAGCCCAAACAGATGGCCTCGCATTTGTGGCTACAATACTTTGGTATACAGAGGAGTTACCCAGACCTTCTGGCTGCAAAACAAGCCCAAATCATCCCTCCTCAACCACTGTGCTTGACAGCTGCTATGAGGTGTTTGTGCTGATAACCTGTGTCTGATTTTGTGCACTATGGTCAGATATCTGCACTTTGGTCTCATCTTTCCAACGGATATTCTTCAAGAGATCTTGTGGTTTGTTCAAATGCGATTTTGCAAACTTAATCCGTGATGCCATGTTATTTTTTAAGAGAAGAGTCTTTCCTAGCAACGTTTCCACTCAAGCCATACTTGTTCAGTCTTTTTCTAGTTGTGCTGTGTCTGAATCAGAAATGTAACTCTTGGGTTGTTTTTTTATTTTATTTCTCTGAACAATGCACAGTCTTGCTCCAATGCTCCAATCTCGGGGTGAACTTGTTGGGACATTCTTTTGACATCCACTGGACAGCTTAAAATATGACTTGGACTTTTCATTTACTTTGTTCCAGGAAATATTATAAGCCATTAAAAATGGCTCACCCCATGATAGATTTATCCAAGCCAGAGTCACGAAGACATTACCTATGGCGCGCCATCCAAAACTGAAGATACTTAAGGAGGCGTGCCGATGCTTTTGGATTTACGACTCTCTATAATTAAAGCATATGCCAATAAACAAAAAAAGCAAAGATATATGGTCCACCTTTTCTCTGAAGACATGTCAAGCCTTTCATCAGTTTGTAGATAGATGGTTCATTAAATGTGAGCATTTTCAGAGTGAACTTGTCCTTCTTTTAATTCAATGTAAATGAAAGATCTGGATAGGTGAGATCCAAATTGATAATATTAAATGTAGCCAATGGGCTAAAATTATTTTGAGCTAACAGACTCACTTTGCCTCTGTGAAATCAAAGAGCCAACATGACTAAAAGTATGTGATAAATATGTTTTCTGCCCCATTTTCTTTATTATTTCAGTTAATTAATTACCAGCAGCCCTGAGGTGTTCATGTACATCCTCACATCTCGCATGGGGCGTTCCCCTTAATTACACAATTCCTCCTGTTTTCTCTCGAGACTATTAATGTGTCAACAACACTCTCACATCAGATGTGGTTTGATTCAAATATACCATTCACTATCAGTTACACGTCAAAGCACCGTTATCGCTCAAGCAAATCATTGCAAACCACATACTCTATTTTTTAAGGTAGTTTTTCATAATCATCAGATACAGATCTTATCAGGAGAAACCAAAGCCCAAATGGTCAGAAGATGACTTCCTGCCATGGAGTGGAAACCATGCCGTCCTCAAACCCACTCAGAGTTTTGAGGGGTTTGTAGCGAAGCAGCAAACAGCTGATAGGAAAATATTTTTAGTCTATTTGAGCTACTTTCAGTGCGCCCCAGGGTGGCTGTGACTACAATGTAGCTTGCCATCACCAGTGTGTGAATGTGTGTTTGAATGGGTAGATGACTGGTTGTGTAGAGCGCTTTGGGGTCCTTAGGGACTAGTAAAAGCGCTATACAAATGCAGGCCATTTACCATTTTACATTATTCTTATCACAAACCTTAATTTTCTGGAACACCTGGAAGTTTCCATTCACCCAAATGTAGATGACGGAGTCTAAAGAAGTGGTCACGCCATCAAAAGCATTGGCGACCACCAGGAAATAGTAAGGTCCGACAGTGAAGAACTCCCAGTCGTACGCCCCTGAAGTCTGGAGCATCTGGTGGACCTCAAAAGACTTTGATAATCTGTTCCACCTGTATATCACACTGTCTATAGTGTGATTCTTGTCACCTAAAAGCCAAACAAGCAAAAGATGCCATGCCAGACACTGTGGAAGTTAACGGGTAGTATAGGTATATATTTATATTACCTTGTCTATGATTAGCGACAGCAAGATATGTATGTCCATCTATATTAAATGCCTCCCAGTCTCGGGCACAGTGCGTCTGCAGAGTCTGGAACTGCACAAATCTTTTTCTCCTTTTGCTCCACTTGTAAATCACAGAAAAGTCCGCCTGTGAGTCTTTGTTAAATCGCCTGTCTCCCCCAGAATTAGACACCACCAGATATATCTACATTAAAAACAACAAAAGAGAAAGAGTATAGGTTTAAAGCTTTTAGTAGGATTAAAGTGTGATTTTTCCACTAACTTGTCACACCTTATTGCCCATGCTGAAGTGCCTCCAAGCCAGGGCTCCGTTGGTGCTGATATTCTGATAGAGTTGGAAACCTGTTTTAGTCCAGAGATACACAGCAGAGCCAGATGCCGACCGATGAGCCATAGCAGCCATCAGACCCATACCAGGTACCTGGAACAGCTGGAGATTGGATTTTTTTTTCACAGCGGGTTTATGTACAGGAAATCCCAAATGAAAGTGAAACAAAAGTATCAGACAATAAAGTATCAGACAATAAGACCTAAGTAAGTTTCACAGCAAATGGTGGATAAATACCTCTATGTCGTGGGTCTCTGAGCTGGTGGTGAGCACCTGATGTTCCAGCACATAGTCCAGTCTTTTGCGATCTGTGTTAATGAAAATGAATGGTTTATGTTATTTTATTTCATAGAAACAAGAACAGAAACAGTGGTAGTTGGAGTCTCACCTTCTAACACAGTGTTCCAAACTGTACCGTCACAGAGGTAGAGGCCCTTTTTGAGGGGATTAAACCACAGCTGGCCCTGTAGCTGCTCCGAGCATGACTTCTCCAAGCCCACAGACACTCTAGCTTCAGTTTCTGACATATTAAAAACCAGAAAGCAATCAAAGAGGCAAGCAAGCATGCAATGTCTTATTTATACTGAGTAAAAATACATGCATATGCAAATTACCATAGGTATTCCCATGTCTATCATCTTCTGTTCCTGTGGCTGGCAGGTCTAAAAACAGTGGTGGTACTGACAGAGCTGCTAGCTGGGGGTCAGAAGAGGGGCAGATCTGATGGGTAGCATCTGAACCTGGCACCAAAACCAGCTGTCGCAGTAGACCCTGGATATGTGGTCACAGAAGAGGCAATCATTTCCGAGTTCATGGCATATCCTTTACAAATCTTATTATAGTCTGAAATAAAGAAAGGCATCTTACTGAAAACAAGCCCTTCCACAGCCCCCGACTACCAATGTGGAATCTGGATCCCTGAATGTTGAGGTCTGAAGGGAAAGGCCTGGAGGGAATGCTGTTTGCCATAAAAGATATACATAATTATTTCTAATAGGTGGAGTAAGTTGTTTTTCTTCTGTAAATGAACTAAATTCTCTATAATTAAAGTAGTTCACTCTGTTCTTCTCATTCTAGGACTCAGTGTGAGACATGAACTGTATTACATGTACAAGTGCTGTGTGGGTGTTGATATTCCTCCTTTCGGCGTGCCAGAGGGAATTTCCACTAAAAAACCATCTATCACACACTGTCAGGCTACTGTGATATGGCTGCAGGGCATACGCAGATTTTGAGCAGGACCATTTTATTGTGGTGAAGGATCTACTGCGCCTCAAGGCAAAATCGGAGGGAACAGAGTAAAGTGGGAAACAGACGTATCCACCCAGAGAACAGAGAAGAGAAAGAGGGGAGAGAAACTGAGCTTACATTTCCACTGGTGAGCTGCAATCCACTGTGAGCTTCACGTGATGACTACCAATGGCTAAAACAAGAGTGTGCCACTGGCTGTCAGCCAGCTGGGTGCCTCGAAACACCCAGTGCTCTACAACCCCTCTGTGACCTTTATAAAGGAAGTGCAGACGCTTTCCCGAGAATTTAAGTCCAAGAATGAGGCGCCCATCACTTTTGACTCTCGTCTTCTGACTGTGTTGCTCTTCTCCGGTGATACTTGACTCTTTATTGCTTTTCAAGCTGCTGCCTCCATCGTTCTCCTCTTTGTTCTGATCCACTGGTCGTCCTTTCGGCCCCATCAGAGAAAACACATATTCATTCCCCTGTTTGGAAAAACAAGAAGGAAGCCCAGACACACTGAATTTGGCAGCGGACGATGCTAACAAAGTGCATACGCTTTTTAATCAAGAATGGAGTTTTTTAGGTGATGGGTAATGAGCTATGTTGCAATTTGAAACACTAAATTGCACTAGAAGAACAGACTTGCATGTAAGTTTAATTGCAAATAAATCAATAGGCAGTAAATATGAGCAATACCGACATCTGTGTCAAGTTTAGCAGCGTATGCATTCATCTTTCTGTCAGGGTTAATATGGCACTGTAACAGGAATTTCTATCAAATCTATTCTGTGTTTTGGGTTTGCAGAGACACAGTCTTTCTATTTATGTAACACACAACATCTCCTCAAGCAAAGCAGGGTGGAGTGGTGGCATCTATTATTTTACTTAAGTAATCAACTGTTATTACTTGCAACATATTCCTATTTTCACACCCCTGTAGTCATTAGTACCGAGGCGTTTCAGTCAGATGCTCACCTTGGGTGCACCGTCGGAGACTTTTAATGTCAGAACAATGGAGAATTCCTTGGGGAAGAGGTCACAGTTCACCAGTATCTGGGAGGAGGGAAAGCTCAGTGCGGTATCAGGGCTTGAGAAATGAATCCCCCTCACCCCGCCGGCCTGCTTCATGTGCACCCCCGGCACAAGTTTGGATGGGTCCCTCTCAAGGACAAAAGATAGAAGATCCAGGGGAAGCGAACCTGAACAAAATATGCAAATAAAGACTATGGCAGTGAGTTTTATGGCCAAACTTTAAACTTCCTTGTGTTGTGAAAGTAACACTGTAGAATTCCTGGGATGATTAATGGGTTAGAAAAGAATAAAAGCTGAAAGTTTTTAAAGTGGATTTAAACAAAATCGCTCTCAGGCTGCAGTAGAAGTAATCTATTCACCGTACTTCACACTTTCACTCAACTTCAGTACATTAGAATAATTTAATAACTTTAGGTTTTGCAATGAAAAGTGTGATTTGATGCTTTATTGTAAAAAAAAAAGAAGAAAGAAAAATACCTAAGAGCATATAAAGTTTGAGCTGAAATGATTAGTGCACCAGCAGGATTACTTACTCTATATACCTTAAGTGCTGAGTGTGGTAGAGCATCTTCAAACCAGAGGTTTGTTTTAAAGGGACACGAGTCAAAAAGGTCAGGATCCACAGGAAACTAATAAATTCCTCAATGTCCCAGTACTACTGCCACCACCACACCCTGGAGTGTGAGAAACAGCCCTAGGTAGTGGTGGGGTTTTATGAGACTTCAGTGGGTTTGTTATTTTATTTTTTTTTTTTTAAAGATACTCTTTCCTAAGCAACGATAACAGAAAAATAATAATACTCCCACACTGATGAGACATCACGTAAACATGCGCTGTGTACGTCCTAATATTTCAATGTGTACGGGATTGTTGTGGAATCCCAACCACACCCAATGTCTGTACTTGTTTATGGATGTTAATTTAGGTTAAAGTGGCATGCACGTCCACACAGAGAAGCACTCCTACTGTACTATAGGCAGATGCAGACAGCTGGAATTACCAAAAAGTATTTTAGCTAGAGGGGCTTCCTGGGTTTTAGATGAAACAGTAAGCCATTCGCTGTATAATAATTAACTAAACATTACATGTGCTGAACTCAGCTGAGACTGGAAGAGATAAAATAGAATAAAAATGGAATAATACCTGTACATTGCCTCCATGTTTCTGTGGCTGTCTCAGTTACTCTTAACCCCAGGAGAAGGAACGGCATAAATATCAGCGTTGACATTGCAGAAAATCGGTTTGTTTCAGTTTCCAGTTGGTAGGAATGTCTCCATACTGAAGGTATTTCTTTGCCTATCCTAAATGACAACACACACCAGAAAGCTTTGTACACTTCATATTGAGCCTGCTAAGAATTCCAGCTCCAAACAAAAAAATGTCTATGAAGAAACTCGGGTGAAAATCATTAAAGTCACACTGGTAACCTAAGATTGATGTTAGGAGTAGGAAGTCCCAGAGCATCCGCGCTTGGAGAGATCCATTCATAAGTGTGGAAAAACCTGCACCTGCAGCTCCTTTTAAACTCCGGACTCATGCAAATCACTAAGCACCCTGTCAGTCATCCGCACTCAACCACAAATCTGATGACACAGACCTGCCAGAGGGGTGAGCTGCACCACTTTGTTAATGTATACGTGTACGCTCACAGACAAGCAGACAGGCACAATATCTGAATGTGATCACATGAAAAATGATTGATTAAAGGGCTTTTTTTATTGTTATTATTAAAAGGCAATCAAAAGAAAACAACAACACTTGCACGAGCTTTGGTCAAGCAGTGCATCAAAGCCGAGCTTTTACTATATTAGTTGTGATCGCACTTTAGTGTATGTTCAGGACATCTAGATGCTTCCTGAAAGCTCTGAAAGTATTGAAAAGGTAATTATGTTTCAAGATAGTAAAGCTAAATAGTATGCTGAACCACATATATGTTTTGAATTAGCAAAATAGTATTAACATAAGCAAAGACTGTAATGGACAAAGTACTAAGAGCAGCTTGGTCAGATAGTTTTTGCAATTAATACATATTTGCATGTATGTCAACCTGGGTGGGCCAAGTCAGTCACAGTGGAGTACCTGAAAGTGTACAGTCTCCTACAGAGGATGTTCAGTGCCACTCAAACTCGACATTCATTGATTTCCTCAAGTCTGTTTAATCTTATTTTGATGGTCACCAGGTGCTCATGAGGAACAGCGGCATGTCTGCTTGTGTCAGATCTCTCAGAACCATCCGGCACATTTACAAGGCAAATGACACAGTCTTTCTTCTTCCACCCACATTAAGATTATGGACGCCACAAATATCAAGGATGCAAAATACATACCAGTATATTTTCCTTTATCCATTCATCAATCTCTCTTACTGCCAGGAACAGCAGTTACACCCCTGAACCTGTTTAGATGAAGAAAAGCAGATGCAGATTGTCCACCGGTGCCTGATTTTCCTTATTCCTGGTTTGACTCATCGGCCGCTATGATTAATCTTATCACTGTTCCGGTTATACTGAATGCAAGTATTCACACAGACTATCAGATGAGATGCCGCGTTCTAAATTTGGACCTGGGTAATAAAGACGATGGTGAAGTTTTAGATGATAATCAGTGTTTGTTCTTTTTTTAACTCATTTATCTAAATTTAGTCATCTTTTGTCTACTACAGGAAGAAGTGTGCTTGAGGACCACTTCAGAACCTCATTTTCTGAAACACACTTCAGCTAAGTTTACAGTTTTTCCCACTACTTTCATGTTTTTATGAAAGCAAAGCTTTAGCAAACCCAAGACATGGTATTGGTATGGACCAGTGGTGCCACCTAATGGTTACTTTTGCACATTAGAAAGCAGGTTTTCGGTGCTTTTGGATCCTTAGCTCCCATCTGTGTGCATCTGGGTACCCAAATTTCATCCCTCCCTTCCCTGGAGACAGAAAAGGGGCTTTAAGTTATGTTCTTTAAAACAAACAGATTAGCTGGTCAAACACAAAAACTTGACATCAAATCTGAGTACCAAACTATATTTATTGTATACAGTAGTAAAAGACCACAAATAATGTACAAATCAGTAGAGAAAACATAACATGACAAGACCTGGTCCCCGTTCTTCGTACTTTACAGTTTAGCTCAGCTTTGTCCAGCTCACTGGGTTCTTGAAATGCAAGCGGAAGGCTGCTTGTTGGCATCGTAAAGTGTGCTCTTACTTTGTGTGACGAAAGCTGGAATCATAATCGCTGACTGACTTGTGCAGTTGCATGTCGCACAAACACTCAACATTTCTCTGTGCAATACAATATTGACAGATGCTTACTGATGGCTGTGCAAGGAAATAAGGTTTCATTTCTCAGTACTGGCACCAACTCTTAACTATTCATATAAAAGATGAAAAACATTTACTGTAGTAGCTGAAAGTGTTCAGACAGTTTTTAAAGCACGTATTAAAACCTACATTTCATTTTGTTGCAGTGTGTTTTTAACTTTGACAGGTGCAACCTTTTCTAATAACTTGAATCCAACTAACTTCAAAAAAGCTGGGTTTTTCTTTTCAGGATTTGAGCTTAATGAACCGTGGCTGAACTGGGGGGAGGAAAGGGGAAAAAAAGAAATCCTAGCTCATTTCAGACTATTTACATTCAAAGATAATTTGGTTACCCACATACGAAGAACGGGGCCCTGTAGGTACAGAACACTTGTCTCCCAAACTCCAATGGCTGACCTCCTGATATGAAACGAACTGCATGCTTCACTCTCCAGAATGTAAAAATAGTGAAAGACGCTCATCACCACTTGAAAGACTGCCACTGTAACAACACACAAGCAGACAGCATCTCAGCAGCTGGCACAGCAGTGAAAAGTGTCGTTGGTGTCTTTTAGCAAAGACAGTCCAACTTTTGTTGGATACCCTTGCTCAAACTTGAACCTGCTCCTCTTCAAAGCACATCTAAAACTCAGTGTTCCCGTCGGCCTACTTGTGCTAGGGCAATACAGGGGATGAGACACCTGACCTAAAAAAACCAAAACATTGAGGAACCGTTCAGTTATTCCCACTCACAGTCCACCCTCTACAACAAGCAGACCTGCTTTTGAGATCATCACAAGGACCGGTCACTAGCCCACTTTGGAAAAAAACAGAACCAAAAAGAAAAATGTTATGTATTTTGCACCAAGAGACTCTTTACACAATCAAACGCCGACCAGCTTACACCGTGGATGCACTTCTGTGATATAGATGAATTCTTTCCCCTGAAACAAGCATTTCTGCATAAGCATATATCCATCTGTACCGCAGACACCCACAGTCACTCACTGAGTAGCCATCTAAGAGGAAGCAAACACTGATGCAATATAAATGCCTTTAAATGTGACAGTTTTCACCTTGAAGTTGGCTTTTTAAAGAGAAGCACGTCAAATATGAAGCAGACGTTCTGTTTTTGGAGTATTGGTCCAAGTCCCACAACATTTATCTAACACCCATTCTGATACTGCTGTACAGGAGGGGGAAAAATGTCGACCATATGCCCCATGGGTGTTAATGTTTAAAATAACAGACGAAAAAACAAAAATTAACATTTACAAAAGAAAAGAAACATTGCAGAAGCACCTAAAATGCAAAGAATTAAAATTCATTTAACAAAACAAAAACAAACAAAAAAACGAGTCACCATTCAGACAACAAACACACAGAAAAGCAATGTGAAATGGGAAGCATGTGTGTATTATGTTCAGATAGTGCTTCCACTTCAAACCGTTTTTATGCCCACTGACAGTGACCCCTGGACAAAACACTTGCAGAGCCTCGCATTCAACCCTGATGGATGAAAACAGTGACAAACTACTGGATACTAAGCTTTCACTGCACAGTGAACCAAAAGCAGTGACAAACCAGGAACAGCTGTGATGAGTTGTTGGTCCAATCACAGCCAGCGGTGCCAGAAGGAAATCGGTGTCCTGATTGGCCAGCAGAGAGACTGTTGACACACAAAAGTTCAGTCCTGACTGAGACAGCACATAAACAGCCAACGAGGCCCCCTGCCCACACCTGACGAAAACCATGACAGACATCTTTAAACTGAAAGAATAATAATAATAATAATAATAATAATA